TTTAAGCTGTTTCTAATTTAAAGGGTGCATTTTGAAAATACTTTTCAAAACTGTGCTAATTAGCTGGGATTGCCTATTTGAATGGTGTACAAAAGACATGAAATTTGTCCAAAAGATGTTAAAAATAATTGAACCATCTGTAAAAAAATCAGGTTTGCTATGATTGCTTATGCAGAATATTTTTTAGTAAAATTATTTTACAAAGCAATCTATCAGCCTTTCATATACTTACAGCAATCTGCTTATCTATAAATAAAAGTTGATGTTTATTAGTATTGCACTGTGATCCTCACTACTAAAAAAAAACCACAAACCTTTTTTTTTTTTTTTTCCAAAAAAATTTCCATTGTATTTATAACTGGACTCAGATTCAAGAACGCTTTTTGAAAATATATCCTAAATTAATTTGTTTATTTTTTCCCATTACGAATCCCAGACACAAACCTGTTTCAGATAAAAAGTGACTGTAGTAACATCATGTTCATCTGGTTTGCCTTTAATACACTATCAAAAATCTTAAAGTTGTAACATATCAGGGCTTATAACATGAGTCATCTCATAAAATATCACAAGCATCAGCTAGTTCTTGAGGTCTTCATATCTGTCAGGGAGCAGTGAGCGCTGACTGCTCCCTAAGAGGTGAGGGAGCCAAGCAGGACAACTCTGCCAGGAGGGGTTCAAATGGAGTTGGACTGAAATGGGCCCCCCCAAGGGTCAGGAAGGCCCTGGGGAGGTACAGCAGGGCCAGGAAGGGCTGGTGGTACCCTCAAGGCCCTGAGAGCATCTGTCTACAATATTTTAGTTATTAGCGTATTGTTATCATTAAAAGCTCTGTGAAAGTGTAAGAATGTTCTTATTATTTTGCATTTTGTTATCTACAGCATAATTTTTGAAAATTCATCACAAATCATTTAGTAACTCTTTTCTGAAGACCACATGGACACAGCAGTGCAGAAATAGAAAGTTCAAGTGTTCTGTTAATGTCAAGGTGTATATATAGCCTACTAAGCTTCATATAAAATTATATCTGTGTTTTTTTAAGAAATTAGTAATGAATTAGTAACATCAAAGACATTTCTGTGTCAATGTGTCATGTATCGGATATAGAGGATTATACTTCAGTACAGGTTTAGATCAGGAGAAATTATATTCGAGGTGAAAAGTTCTTACTCTGATACATGTGATTCATTAAGTATTGAGGAAAAACAAGAAAGCCGTGTTTCCCAGATAAAATCTTTTGTCTCAGATATTTTTGTTTAAAAGATTTAGCTTAAAAAAATAAAAAACCACCACCTTTTCAAGACATGAGATTCAGTATTTTATTATGCACAGCTGAAAGATGTTCCCTATTAAGATAACTGAATTCAGAAATAACTTCCAGAAAAAAATAAAGCTGACATAATCTCACTAGCTGAAATTCTTTGTTCTTTTGGTCTTTTTTCATATGTTTGCAAAGCAAGCTTTTTATCATCCTGTAAATGGACAGTATAGCTGAAGGAAAGCAACTTTCCAATAAGGAACAAGCTGCCATTGGTGTGCATGAAGAATACTTACAAAATCAGCACATAAACAGTATGGCATGTTCCACTTAATGATTTTTCATTGGCTTTGAGGTATATGTGAAACTATTCCTGTAAAAGCTTAACAAATACAGGTAATCTCAGAGCAAATTTATGTATCGCACTAACTGCCGTGCTTAATTCATCACGCATTCTTGCAGTTCAAGTTAGAATTATAAGGAGTGGGAGAGATCCCATGGTTGTATATACACTATGCCAAATGAAGACACAGGAGGGCAAGACCTGAATTTCCATTTTAGAAGGGGGAGGAAAAAGGTCAACTCTCCAGTCACAATTTTTTTTTCATGTGCTTTTTGTGAAGGAAGATTTCATAATACAGATTTCAAATTGAAGTATTGGATTTTAGGGACTACTTTACTTTGCTGTAATATCGAATAATACCGGTAGTCTGAAAGTGGTCTAAGTTTCCTTCACCTCAGGAAACTCCCTGTTCAAGCATCCCATACCTCAAGTTCAGGCAGCAAAAACAGTTTCTGAACTCAGGGGACAGGGGCTGCAAGTATGGCATGTCCTTCTCCAGTCCATGTGTGTTTCTAGGCTTGTCCGACTTCAGAATAAACCTTCTTTACCTCCAAATACTTCCATAGTATTTGGAGAGCTTCATCATCCAGGTTTTTTGCCTGTTCTTTGTGTTTATCAAGTCATCAAAACATTTTTTTTTTAATTTCCGATTTCCAGGAAAACAATGCAATGACATATTTCTAACTCCTTCCTAACATCTGAATGTAAAGTATTTTGTGGATTATCAAGCCTATTAAATTGCAAGCTGAAGTTCACATCAAAAAAGTAGCAGATCTGGTGACCCAGGGGTAAAATTATCCAACAACAAATTATCCAACATTTTTATGCTGTAGATATATGTTAATTCGTATTCATATGACTGACATTCATCTCATTTAATAGTCATTTTACAGATCTATAATTCCACTGACTTCAGCTAAGTCTTCTCTGAGTTGTTAACTCCTCTGAGTAGACTACCTTTGAACACCTAGAACTTCTGTCCCTAGGCACTTCCTGTGGAAAACGGAGGTGCAGGTAAAAAACAGTGTAAACAAAATACTGGACTGCTTAAATTGATAGGAGTTATTCCACTGGGTTTTCTTTGGTTCAGAATTCAATCTTGCAGCTCTATATTTAATATCCAGGAACTAAGGAATATAGATTTAACTTCTTAACTTCTTCATCCCTCTTTTTATCTTTTAAATAAGACAAGGAAAGGAGAAGAAAGTTTGGCTTACCTAATCTTTCATTATCCTATACTTGAGAATTTGATACCCAAGATCTTCATTTACAATTATAGCCTGAGCATAAGAATCCTGAGAGGCAGATTTTAGCCTGAGAATCTTGTTAAGTATTTTCCTAAGGTGAAAGGAAAGAAAACTTCAAATCAGACTATGAACAGTGTTTGGAAGTGTATGTTACCAAACCCTTAGCTGAGCAGACAAAAATACACATGGCAGTACCTTCCTTTGCTAAAGGTGAGATTATTCTGAGAAGACTCTTCTCCAAATACTGAATAAGCAAAAGTAAAGAGAGTTCCCTAAAAATATACTTTGCCCATGCAGCTGTCTGTCAGGACAACCTCCTTTCCCAGAGCAGCAGTTGCCTGGACTAATGATCTTCAAAGGACCGTAAGGAAAGTGGAAATGAAATCAAGTGTTGAGAAAAAGGTCCTTAGCATCTGCTTTTGTTGCCAGAAGCTCCCTTGATTGCATCACGTCTTTAACTCAAACCAGTCACATTGAACACAGTGTCTCACTGATAATTATAGCTTTTTATCTAGAAAGATGGACAAGCCAAACAGCAACTTTTTTCTGCCAGATTCTGTGATGCGGAGCTAATTGGCAGGATTTTAGAGAGGTCATAGCATAGTCCAGTGAGAGATGAAGCACACCTGAACTCTTAGAAATTAGCTCAGTATAATTTCAGACTTCCCAGGGCACTGAGTATCATTTAAAGTTAATAATCACAGTGAAAACAACTGGGAAGAGTGTTTCTTGCAAAGGAGAGCCCTGGATTCAAAAGAAAGTATTGTAAGGTATAGAAAATTTAAGTGCAAACCTAATGCATCAGTCAGGTAAAAATAAATCTTTAAATATGGCTCCTTAACATCTTTCATTCTCTTCCTAAAAAGCTTTCAAGAACAGTAAGAAGCAATATATTAAGTGACACACACCCACAAGAAGTCTGTCTTAACCTAACATGCTCAATCCAGGAATGACCAATAATGGATACTCAGGGAAGAATCTAAGAATAAAACAAATATATAATAATTTTCAGAGATATTTTCCTAGCCCTTAGTCATTTCTACCTAAGGCACTTCCTCAGCTGTTTCTGTGAGGTGTCTTACTGGTGTTGGATAAATTTACCTAAGCATAGGTAAGTGCTAGCAAACTGCCAGAAGAATTAATGTACCCATGGTTTTACTGCAAGCTTCAGGGGAATAACAGTGTAGTAGCAGGTGATTCGAGGGAGGAAAGTGCCTCTCTGCAGCAACAGTCACCATCCTAATTTTCCCTGCCCTCATGCACTCACCCTCATCTAATGGGAGTATGATCAATAAGCTCGCTCTTTTTTAGAAGCTCTTCCCCTTTCCCATGCATCTGTCCTTTACCTAGAACAGTGGATCTGGCTCCTCGTTCTTCAAGAAGCAAAATTCAATTCTGTCTTCATTTCTGAGATTCCTTCAGCTGCCTTTCGACACAAGATACGCTGACGCATATATATGTAAACATTCCTCAAAAGCTTAAACCTAGTAGGATGCTGATAGCAATGTAGTCATGCTGCAAATAGACTCCAAAAATCTTGAGACTGTACTTAACATCATATAGTGTTTGTCTTCATGCTACATCAACTTGATCACTAGTATTACCTGTCAGGTGCTATTGACAGTGGGTCAAGGTTGTCTGTTATATGACCTCACCTTCCAGTGCTCTCTTTCTTTGCTTTTTGAGAATAATGATACCTTTTACCTTCAAAGAAATGCATGGCTGTGTTTGCAAGGTTTCAGTAAGTGCAATCAGTTGTACAGATTAACAGAATAACGTAGTATAGTGCTGGTTAGATAGTTAGAAAAGTATATGTTAGCAATATATGGAAAAGGCTAATGAAACAGCTTTGTATTAAGGCTTTTTGAATTTTTAACTTTGTAATATCCTCAGGCAATAAAGCCCAATTTATATAAATTAAGTTTAACTCTGATTTCTAAAACAGCGATTCTGTGCAGAGAGGTTTTAAGCTTAAATAGTAGTCTTGATATTCTTTTCTATAAAAATTTGACTTGAAAAATATGAAATTATTAAAAAGGCTGTTACATTTGACACAACTCCCCTCTCAGCATGCATGTTTATACTTAGTTCTAACTTAACTCTACCTCAGTTTTTTTGTTCTCTCATTTATTGTCTTATACATGTTTCCCAGGATAGCCCACTGGTCTTACAGTCTGACAGAAATGTAACAGTGAATGCAAGAAATCACATGGGACAGTTAACTGGACAACTGACAGTAGGTGAGTGTTCTTTATTGACTGTTATGTATATCAGTTTAGCTTTATGAATAGGTTTTGTTAATTAATATAGAAGATAAAATGCTGCTGAATCGTCAGGAAAAAGACCTCATCACCATACTCAAACATAAAACAGTGCATACAATGGATCATAAGAGCATGATTCAGCATTAGCTGAAGGCAGAGAAAGTAGAAATGCCTCAAAATAGTTAAAACATAGCTAATGAGAAATTATTATTTTTGAGGTAGCTGTAACAAAACAAACTAAAAAAAATCTCAGCAAAACATGTTTAAACAACAATTTCAGTGGGAAAATAACCATCATTTTCTTGCAAGTTCTGTCAGTCTTCCATTACTTCAGTGAGAATTGGTTTGCGCCCATTACTCTTGCAGTGTATTTATATCAACACATATTGAAAACAGAGTGACAGAATGTAAAAAACAAAACAAAACAGAACAAAACAAAAAATCCAAAAGCTTTCCTAGTCACTACAAAATCTAAATGGAAAGTGATCCTACTGCCAGTCATTCATTAAAATGGTGTCCAATATTTTGCAAAGTATAAAATATAACAAATCTAAGTTCCAAGTGAAATGGAAATAAAAGATCCTCTACTTATCTGTTTCACTTTTCATGTATTTTCCCCTGCTTTTATTAAGTTTACCATGTTAGTAAATATGAAGTAATATTTTTTATATTTTCAGTACCAGAATAGTACTGATGATATTAATTTTTAAGAATATTAGCCAAAAAAAAAAATCAATACAAAGTAATATTCTAGATCTGTTAGAAAGCAATATATACTGACTGGGAATGGGATAAAAAATATGCAAATATATATGTGTAAGATAGTAATGCATATATAAATTTGAGGGCACATGCCATAAACTCCTTGTCTTTTCATTTTTTTCCACTTTATTTCTGGATTAAGCTGTGTTTTATCCATTCTTTTTCCTCATGTGCTGAGGATATGCTCACAAATAGTTTTAAGTTGAAGTCTAGTTATAATCTACACTGAGCTTTCATGCTGGCTGGAGACAGTGACTTCAAGTTGTAAAAAATCTTTGGCATAGAGAGTGACACACCATCTGCACTGATTTCCCTGAATGACCACATCAAATGAGTGTGCAAAGGTAACCAGACTTGCTAGCAGATACAGATGAGGAAAATTAAGCTAACACCTGTTCTAGCCATATTGTACTTGCCCAGTGTGTTTATGGAATGCAGTTCTATTTCATCTAGTAGCTGTGTTATTAGAACCTTCCACTTCAGCTGGTAATTCCTAAAAGGTGAGTTGCCCATGGCAAACATTCACATTGGCTGAAATAGATATGATATTTTGATTACTGACAGCATTCTTGCTAAGTGAATCCAGCACTGAAAATGTATGTGAGTCTATTGAGACTGACCTACTTAAAGGCACCACACTAGAGGTTAATATTCTAAAAACATAAAAGCCTGGAGAAAACATGTGTTCTTATGCTACCATCATTAGAGTGAACACCTGTAAGCTTCTTGTGCGCATCTTGTGCAGAGTGCCTGGAGAGTGGAAGCTGCTAAACTGGAATACTGTCTTTATATTTTTTCTTATTCTTTATCCTCCTCATCTTGTTCATAATGTCTATATGGCCTTTATTCTTTCTTATATTCGTATAAAAACCTGCTTCTTCATTTTTTGTACATTCCTCATAAAGTATTGAATGCATATTAAAATGTTGCTTATTTTCTTATTTATTATTTAATATTTCTTACTTAGTTCAGGCACTTATAACTACCAGTACAATCAGTAAAAAACTGAGCATTCTACTATTGGAAGTCAAAGAAATTAACAGGCATCTAAACTTCAAAATGTATTATTTCTGCCCTTCCTTCAAAAAATTTTTGTTGTATAAGATAGAACAAAGACAATTTTTTTTTAATTTTGTCTAGGCAAAATATGGAAACATTTGCTGAGAGAAGGGAAGGGGGCTTTTCTATACCAGGTTTGCTGACATCAGAATTTTTTTTTTCCTATTATCTGTAAATATTCTCTAGAAAGTCCCTAACTTCTTCAGAAATGCTCTTTATCCCTTCACTGTTGCTGCGTGCTGAAGCAGCTGCATGTGTGGCTGCCCAATGAAAAAGATGAAAACAAACAGTGGAAGAAGTAGTGAAGAGAAATATTTTTAAGCTAAAAAAAAGTAAACTATTATGCCTTGGGGAAAAAAAATTACCTGATTAACAACTTTAAAATGTTTTTATCTGTTAAGTTCTTCAAAAAGTTTAATAATAATAACAATAATAATAATAATATACAAATTTATATGCATGACAGGAGCATTCTGAAAAGAAAGAAGGATGCCCGTACATTCAGGTGGAGGATAATGCACTTCCTATACATGTGATATCATTGGCATTTTATCTGAATTTCATAAGACAAAAATGATGTTATAAGGCAATAAATAAGCTGATCTCTTGTCTTTGACATTCAAATTGCTGGTCATGCCAAATTTTAGGACAACTGAAAATTCTTTCTGTGGTATTTGGAATTGTTCCATGCAAGACTGAGTCAGCCTTAAGAGCATCTAATTAAAACTGTAACTGGAAGATAGATTAATGTAAAGAAGTGAGGGTGGAGCTGGTAGAAAGAAGGCTATGTGACCACCCAGGGTGATGTAAAAACTCCAGTGAAACTCTTGATAAGAGGTATCCAATTCTTTGACTGACTATGGAAGACAAAGTATTTCTGTAAAGTGCATCATTGTGACATCTTGGAACACATCCTAATCTAGGATAAGTGAAGAAAAAGTATATTTAAAAAAAAAAAAAAGATACTGGATGATTCAGTGGCTACATGTTTAAAAGGAGTAAAGTCAAGTTATGGCTCCAGGTCTTAAAATAACGAGGCTGCATCCATTATTACAGTACAATGTATTTATACTGACACTGCAAACTACAGAGAAAAAGTCACAGGTGTAGTAATGCTTTCTGTTGGGATCTATACCAACTGAGCTAGAAATGTTGGTTTGTGCTCCAGTCTCTTCATGACATATGGTCAGGAAACTGCCAAGTTTGTATTGGATCTAACAAATAGACTCCAGAGCCTTCAGTTTTCAGACATGCCATTTAAGACCAACAGAGTAGATATAGCACGAACGTGAAGTATATCTACAGAATAAAGACGTAAAGATGACCATCCATTGATTTTTGTGTCTAAGCTGGATTAAGGACAAGTAATCACATCTCTCTCTTCCCTGCCCTTACTTAACAATACCCTTTGCATTATGCATTCTACTGAATTACCCCAATACAACCTTTTCTTCTTGTTTAGTCAACATTTGGATGGTTTAAAGCTACAGGGGAAAATATCTACTTTTTTTTCTGCCAATCTTAGAAATGCACAATAGTTGCTCACTTCAAGCCAGAAGTCTGTTGTCTCCATGCTGCCTGCACAGATCCTATGTTCCTCTGCCGGTTTTTGAGTGGAGGTCATTAGGCTGACAAGTGCTAAAGGGATCAAAATTCAATATGGCTGAAAGGAGACATTTGAAACCCACATATGTACTTACATACACATACATAACTTCATCTTCAGATTTGATTATTGCTTCACCAGCTTTCTCATTTTTTCATGACTTTTTTTTCTTTTTTTTTTTTCTTGCTGCAATAATTGCTCCTGACAGGTATTTCTGCTATTGCTTGACCCTTTTCCATTCACAAAGATCCCTGGGGATATCTGAAATGTGCAAAAATGTGCACTTCGCTTTTGTAAAGCTTTAGGCTCTTTAAGACAGAATCGCAGCTGTAATAGAGGTCCAGAGCTGTACGAGTCACAGCGTTAGAGAGCTCCTGAACCTGTAGCTCTACTCGCTGAGATCTCTAGAGCCATGCAAATTGAGAAAAATGATTTGAATACAAATGAAAGTTATATCACACTTTTTCAATTACTTTTTGAAAATAGCAGGCAGAGGTATAATTTTCAATTACAGCAGTGGAAAAGACTGATAACAGTACTAAAAGATACAGCTATTCAGGTAACTTGTCAAACTTGTTGACACTTTCCATCCATTTACCACAAAATTTATGTTGTGTATTCAAGATTTTTTTTCTTAAAAATCTGCTTGCTTACTTTCTGCGTTCCACCAAGAGTACACGGGGTGTTCTGAAGAAACTATTGGACATTAGAAACTACAGATATGTAACCCAGTGGGAGTGGAAATAGCACCCTGCATCATTCTTACCTATATCACATATGCCAGTCGCCTGTGCCTACACGTACTGATACCTTACCATGTAACACACCCTACTACCCCTTCACTTCAGAGGTAATCAAAGTAACTCATTACCTAAATGTTGCCAGTGATGTTCCCTTTGCAACATCCAGACATCAAAGAATATCTGAAGCAAGAGACATTTCAAACATTCTTTCTTTTAGAATTACCTATAGTAGATCTTTTAATAATATGTGTGCACATGTTACTCTAAATCTTTGATATCTATTGTCAGACATTTACTTATTTAAGACTATTATGAACTTGAACTAAATATCCATTAAAGCAATAGAAGTAATAACATGCTGAGATAAATGTTTCTATATTTTTTAATCTTGTTTGCATACATAGTAGCCTCAAATGTAAGGTCTTTTCTCCTAAGTGTTGCAGTAAGAGGGTAGTTTCAGAGTGGTCATACCCATATACCCTTTCCTCACAGTAGGAAAAGGGAACAAAAGGGCTCAACTTCTCTTTTTCTTATCTGTATGGTTGTTCTTGTATTGTTGATAGTAGGATGCGGGGGAGAGAAGTGATGATACTGGTTTACAATTCCTCTTTAGCTGCTTCTACCCTTTAACTGGGCAAATATGGATCAGAAGTTATTGTTAGGAACATGTAAAATAAAGGTTTTTCTCCTTTCCCTTACAGGGAGGTTTACCTACCTGTAGTCCCAAACTACAGTGAAATTTCAAAAATCTAAAATGTATTAAACATTCTGCTGGTCTAATTTTCATATTAAAGCAATTGCTCTAG